TTGTGTTTGAAGTCTCCTGTGTAACCTGACTATCCCTTTTGTCCTGATTTGCAAAGCCTTGATGTGAGACCTAACGAGAAAAATTTCATTCACTAAATAACCTCCAAAATAAGTTAACAGTATTTTTTTCTTCATTATCTGCAATGCCTTAATGACAACACACAAGCACATTGTCTAGATTGAAAGCAATACAAGTATGCAAGTTCTGCTTCAGCATGGACCATTTTTCTCCCAAAATTGTTCTTATTCCAGGGAGCTGGCAAATCAATGTAAAATGAACAAATCTCATGGACATTTTTGGTTTTGGATCACTTGGATCTTGTTGCTTTGGGGCTCACAGTGGACAGCTTTAGCAGTCTACAGAGCATTTAGTGGTCTCATGAACATTTGTGGCAGTGCTTGTGCCCCAGGCAGGGAGGGGTACAGGCAATAACAGGGGGTAAGCCCCATCTCAGGACTCATTTTGAGCACAGAGAAACTGCATGGCAGTGATAAAAGTCTTGGTGGTGCAATTTTGTCATTGGGAAAAGCCTGGGCTACCCAGCTACCCATGAGAATTCTTCAGCTTTAGAGCTCATACGTTCTTTGGTTAACACTGGTTTCATCTTGGGGGGAAACATAGAGTTTTTTTAACATGTAGAAAATATTGCTCAAAAGGCAAAACCTCCCTGGTGAGTGATTCAGAGTATTTTTACGGACTATCAGCACTCTTCCTCCCTCCCGCCCCTGTAGAGTCACTGGGTAGAAGCAGTAAAATGATTACATTCCTAAGAGAGTCCCTTTGGTCTCTATGTGGAAACTGGTCCCACCTCTCACTGACAGCTAACAAAAGGAAAAATACCAACTACCAGCAGGAGCTTGTCTTCCTCCATGCCTGTCTGAGTCTATGACACTTGATACCTTTTAGGATCAAGCACAATTCCAAAGACAGGCACAAATCTCCCTTCAGAAGCATAGTAAAAGGGCAAGGAGTGGGGGAGAGCTACCCAGGGATCTTGTCTTCCTGCAGCATGAGAGGGTGCAAATCTCTTGCCTCTTTTCTCACCTTTCAGAGGGAGCACCCAGAGTAAAAAACATTTTTGGAGAGGGGCAGTATTTCTCTGGATCAGTACAGAAAAGAACACAATGCTTCTGGGCCCAGAGATGGGCAGAAGGATCCTGACTCTGTAACCTGTTGAGAAGTATACAGTTCTGGGCAGACATAATCATAATTTTTTTTATTTCAAATGTTATGTGTAATTAATAGTGTTATGCAACAAGAATTGTGTTTTCTTGCATAATCATGTACGAATAAAAAGTTATACATATACATTGAGGACAGGACTTTTAAGAGTATTGTTATGGAGAACTGGATGTTCCAGTGTGTCATAGTCTCTATCTCCAGGAAATACCCCAAGTATCAGTAGGCATATTTTCATTTATGAAGCTCTTTTGACTACTATACTATATATATATACATGAAAAGTATATTTCTGCACATCCTACTTCTTTTTCAGTTTGAATATTTGCCTATAAACAAACAAGCAAGAAGTATCAAACCACAGTGAGAAAGTTATATTAATAGTTTTTAATAAAACTTGACTCATTTTTAATTTATATGAACAGGTTTTGGAATTAAAATTTTAGCTCCTTCTTTTTACAAAATGGAATATATTTATATAATGCCATTATATTGATGTTCTTTTTCTCTTTTATAATGTCTATTGAAGTTTTTTTTTTTTTTCTCCAGAAAAGTGCTGACTCACAATACGAATTTTCAACCTCTGAGCATGTCTCAGCCTTGGTATTTATAAGTCTATTGTTAGTGCCTGATGTTTTCTTAAGAATTTCTAATCGGCAATGCTCAACAATGAGGTTCTGTAATGGATGGACCACTTGAGCAGGCTGTTATTTCAATTTTTGTATACCTAATATATCTACCTTACATTTAGGTTTTCTATTATTCAGGATTTTCTACTCTAATTCTATCTTCAGTTTGTGTGAATTCAGGTTTCACATTTCAGTAACGTATTTATCTTAACAAAGAGGGTAATGCTGTGGCCACTGCTGCTAACGCAGTTTGCACCGGGTTTAACAGCTCGCTGTAAGTGGGAAGACTTATGCAACCATTTCTGCTTCTCAAGGTGTGTTTTGGTTGGTGAGTTTAAACTGAGATGTACATTGAAGTGCTTCTTGTGTACTCTCAGATGTCTAAAAAACCTACTGGTGCTCATAGAGGTGATTTGTTTGAACTTCTTTACAGTGCAATGGACACATGTTTTCTGGAGCATTTTTCCCTGCAAAGGCTTTCCTCAAACTGTCTGTCTGATCTATGTGACATGTCACTTATCATTGTTAAGAAAGAGAGGTTTAATGAGGCACAGCATCCCACATGGATGCTTAAAGCCACTTTGTGCATTGGGGTTACACTCTTCTGACAAAATGTCAATATATTGTCATATATATTCAGTGTCACTGAGTTGGTTGTATTTGCTTCTGGAAGTGCTGCACTCATGTGAACCTCAGAAGCTAAGAAATGGCTTGTGAAGACCTGTCACGTAACAGAAAAGACAGAAGTAGCTTTTAAGAACCTGGAGCCACTGAACTGAACACTCTTCAAACTGAGTGTGTATAAGATTTGCTGTGTCATGAATTTTGGTGACTGGAAAATGACAGAATTCTATTATAGACAGTAAGGTTGCTTCACTATACACATGTATACAACCTGAGTTCTTCCCACTCAGGTTACATTTTTCTGTGGAACTCTTGCTCTGAGCGATTGAAGGGTCTGCACTCCTGCTCAGATCAGCCACTTTACAGACCTGACATACAAGACTTAAAAAGAAGACAGTTGTCCTGATGTTGTCCTGATGGCAACATCTAATTCAAAGATGTTAAGTTCTTACTGAGCCAGTTACAGTCAAAGAGGAATTCAGACTGCTGTGAGATATCAGTTAATCTCAGTGAGCTGCGCAAGGCATCAAGCACACCCATGCTAGCTGACAGAGAAAACTAAAGCCTGTAGCACTCATCTCACTTGAGAAGCTGGCAAAGTCTGTGTAGAATCAACACTTTTAATCCACATTGAACTGAACTGGCTTTGCTCATATAAATATTCTGCTGTTATTATATATATATATATATATATATATATATATATATAGTACTTCTATTTCAGACTTCATCTAAACCATTGTTCTTTATCAGAATAACACCGGGTGTCTCTAATGTGAGACTACTCTGCAGTGTAAATAAAATCAGTGTGTTCTGCATTAAACATTCATATCTTGGCTATTGTGCCTTGACATGTAGTAAACTATAAGACTCGAAGATGACACTACCATGTGAGTTTTTTTTTTTTTTTTAATGTCCTTTACAGTGTTTCAATCTCTAATAAAAATAAAAATAAATAAATAAAAAATGTTAACCCACATGGAAAAATTCTGTTTGATGCAAGTTCACTGGAAATGTTACTCCTATGTACTACTACTTTGTACTGTTACTGTACAAAGAAAATTTTCTATGTGTCCTACGAACTACTATGTGAAGAGGAATTATATTAAAAACAACAAAAAAAAAGAAAAGGTAATGGAGTTAATCAATTATTGGTAATGAGTTTCATTGTCAAAGATACTGAGCATAAACCACTTCAAATGCAGTCAGTGAAGTTCAATGATGTTTGAATAAACATTCTCTTTCTTGAAAGAACTCAGTTTTGGAACTTCAAAGGAGCTGTTACTCACCAGTTGTTTCAATGGCTGATCAAACTGAGTTAATTAGGTCCTTTCTGAATACTTTTTTTTTTTTTTTGTACAGTTGGGTGGGTGTTTGGCACTTCACTGAAGCTAATTTGTTAGCAGCACAGCTAGAAAACTCTTACAGATATGCATTACTTCTTTATACTACTAGATCTTTTTAAATAAATAATATTTTACTTTTCTTATCACTTATCCAGTCTTTAAACTGGAAATACTTTTGGAGAGCCAGAGACAAAAATTAGATGAGAAACTCAATTAGAAGCTCAGTATTCAAACGTTTTAGGGTGTAATCAAAGTTTGACTCTTTATTAATCTACCTATGTTTCCCAGGTAAGTTTGCAAGAACACAGTAGGAAGCCTACAGGCCTTGCTTTCCTGAAGCTCAAAATATAAAAGCCAAGCTGTATTAAAACAATAATACACCAAATAAAAACACACTTTGGTACTCACTGTTGAGTATAATAAGCTAAAATAAATGGTAAAATAATACATCCTTATTTTATTTTGACCTTGGACTGACAATCTAGGTTCATCCACTTTGTGCGCTTCAAAGAGTTCCAGAATATTTAAGCACTTTTGTAACACTTAAGACTTTATGTTGCTTTAGAATGACAATACTGTGCAAAATAATAGCTGATTTCTGTTGTGTTGCTCTTTATTACCTATGTGCACAATGTGAAATAGCTGTACTTGCAAGTGATGTATTTCATAACTTTCATAACTTTTTTCAGAGAAAATATTGCCTCATTATATTTCTAGTGATCGTTAGGTAAAATCTAAAGATAGGAAATAATATTATTAAATTAACTGAAGTAGCTTTCAAAACCAAATGGATGATTTTTAAGACTTCCTCTGGTTCAATTGACTGTTATTAGTTAGCACATTATAAATAAATAAATAAAAAGAATAAGGAAAAACTAAGAAAGAGGAAAATAAGCCCATATAACATTCGGGGGCCTAACAGTACTGCTGTTAGGACTTATATAGCCTTGAACATATCTGTCATTTATCACACTAGTAAAAAAAAAAAATCACAGTAGCAAATCATGCCATTTTAGAATCATTTTAGAATGACATAGATATGTGAAAAACAAACAACCAAACCAAACCAAACCAAACCAAACCAAACCAAACCAAACCAAACCAAACCAAACCAAACCAACCAACCAAACAAAAAACCCCATAATATTTCATTTGGGAATATTTGCACAATTTTGTCAAATAAGTCTTATGCTAAGGCCCAGCTCAACTTGTGATTGTTACCTTTCTCCTTAGTTGTAGTTGAAACCTTCATTTCTTTTCCTTTTGAAAAAGATATCAAACACAAAAATCAAAGGAGAAAGTTATTATTAGGAATATACACTATGCCCATCTATTCTATAACAAACATGCACAACACCTCATCAAGCAAAAAGTGTGACATAGACAGGTGTTAGGAATTAGAACTTATTTACTTCAATAAAAGACTCAAATTAAGATTTGAAAGCAAACCAAAAATACTTCCCACGGAATTAGTGGCAAAGACTGCCTTTCAAAACACTCCTGTGAAACATTCCTGTGAAGTCTATCATGAATTTAGTAACAGCTCTTTTGATAATTTACTCAGAATAGACCAGCATTCCTGTTGCAATATTGGCTATGCATGTCAGACAATAGTTAAAGAACAGAATAGTAAATAGCATTATTTTATTTCTGAATTGTGTAAGACACTGCTCATTTTGATTTACTAAATGTGAGGGAGATAGGTTTAGTTCCTTTTCACCAAAAACCTGTAATTCAAAATATACTGAACCTGCAAAATGTATTAATACCAACAGACTCCTTCAAGAACACAACTGGTTATTTCCTAGCCATATAATGATAAGAAGTTACCCTTTTCCTTTAAGACTGCTGAAGGCCTCACATCTTTTCTTTTACCAGTCTCTAGAAAGAAACATTTAAGTATCACAAGTCAGGTTAGAGAAATAAGATGACACTTGAAAAGAAAGCAAGTCAGACAATTTGATATGTAGAAAGTAAAAAAGATGAGATAATTAAATGGATTTAACAGCACGGAAATAAAGAACAGGACAAAACAACAAGGTCATTCATTCATGCTTGTAGACTTGGATATGTAAAATAATAAGCCTTCAATATGTCATTAGTTTCTTTGCATTTGGAGGAAACTATTTAGCTGTCTTTCAAGTAGGGAATGAAATAAAGTGTCAAGAAATTCTATAGAGCAGTTGGCATCAATGGATTTTTCTTTTGCTGAACTCAAATAAAAATTCAATCTACACTGATATAATTAAAATATTAGGAATACTGGACTTGAATGCCAGAGGTTGCTGATAAACCTAAGTGGGAGATTTCTTTATTCAGGAATGACAAAAGGACCAGTTACTCATTCAGAACTCTGTTATTCTTTTAATATAAAAGAAGCCATATGGGTACTGCTTGTGAACAAGATTTTACTTCCTGCATATATATAGCCTTTTACAATCACAGGCAAGCTGGGTATAAAATAAGAGCAGTGCGTGTCCTCAGAATCTACAGTCACATATATCACAATGCATTGTCCAAGAACTTAACTGTAGTTTCAGTTCTTTTCTGCAGCATATGCCAAAGGATTAAAGGAGATGAGAAAAACATTGAAATTCTCATTCTCATTTTCCTGCATGTGGCAAGGGAATCTCAAGGACAAAAGAAAATCCAGTAGTTGGCTAAATAAAGAAAAAACTATATTTTTATGGTGTCCAGACGAGATGCAGGGACTGACAAGCATGACAGAGAGGAGAATTCCTTAATATGTGAGCACATGGTGCCTTGACTTTGTTACACTGAAGAATTCTGAAGAAATACTAAATTCTTCCCAGATGTGCACTATTTTGTGTATACTAATGTGTATTCAATACTACATAATTTGCCAGACATTAACTGCATGGAATACCTCCAACTTCCAAGAAAATGGATCTTTGACACGATCTGTACATCTGTACCTCTGCTAGATTTTGCTGCTTTCTTGAAATGATTGAGCTGTTTATGTACTCTCCAGGACGTAGACAGTGCCCACGAATCCTAGAACTGTTTCTTTTAGTGTTCACCATATTTTATATATATATATATATATATATATATATATATATATATTATATGACATATATGTGATATATATGTATTATATGTCACGATGCAACAGTTAGGGTTTTCTCCAAACAGACACTGTCAAACAGTGTGAAACAGTGTCAAACAATCTGTGAACTCTGTGCACACAGCTAGCAAGTCAACCTCCTGCATCTGGAAAGATTAGAGATGTAGGTGTCAGTTTTGCTAATAAGTAAGGTTGCCAATAAATTCCCCAGGAAGCAAATTCAAAGCTGTCAATTTAAAAGAATCCCAGGTAGTTACTATGATTGGGAGTTTATACAGCACAAATGTCAAACACAATAACAAGGATAAAGCAAGTCAAACATGAACCTGAATGGGTTTAGTGTTCTATCTTTGCATATCCTTACTACTTAATACCTTTTTTGAGCATTAAATAGCCATTCCAATATTCAGCTCTGAAATTCTTAACTTCACTTACCTTTATCCTTTGACCCCTCTGGATTCTTGGGATTTTTTCCTTTAAGAGACTCTGTAGGGAAGTAATTAAGTTTTTGAGATTTAGAAGATAGGATTGGATTTCTACAGTTATGTCCTGGTTTCAGTTAGAACAGAGTTAATTTTCTTCCTAGTAGCTGGTAGAATGCTATGTTTTGGCTTAGGATGAGAAGAGTGCTGATAACACCCCGATGTTTTAATTGTTGCAGAGCAGTGCTTATACTAAGCCAAGGACATCTCAGCTTCTTGCTCTGTCCTTCCAGCAGGCAGGCTGGGGGTGCAGTAAGAGCTGGGAGCGGACAGACCCAGGACAGGTGACCCAAACTAGCCAAAAGGGTATTCCATACCATCTGATGTCATGCTAAACAATATATAGGGGTGGCTAGCTGGGGGAGGGGGCCGGACTGCTCGGGGTTAGGCTGGGCATCGGTCAGTGGGTGGTGAGCAATTGCATTGTGCATCACTTGTTTGTACACATTAGTAGTAGTAGTACTATTATCATCATTGTATTATTATTATTATTATTATTATTATTATTATTATTATTATTGCTATTGATATTGTTATTGTTATTGTTATTTTCCTGTCTTATTAAACTGTCTTTATCTCAACTCATGGGCTTCACTTTCCATTTCTCTCCCCTGTCCCAGAGAGGGAGGGGGGAGGGTGAGCGAACGGCTGCGTGGTGTTTAGCTGCTGGCCGAGTTAAACCACGACAAGTTAGAAGAAAAAAAAAAGTTATAAGCATTTAAAAATTAAGACTGTAATTGTGAACATCAATGGGTTCAACCTTTATTTTCCTTACATTCTCTCTGGTGACCACCCTGTATTTTTTAAGGTGCAATAGTTATTACTAGCAATTACAATATAAAGAATATATATCACACTTTCTGTGGAGACCTCACAGAAGAGAGAAACCAGAAAGGAATAAAGGCAAATGCAAGTAGTGCCACAGGATTAGAAATTCTTAGAGCCTTATCCAACACTTCATGAAGACAAAAGTTTTATCTGTATTCTCTGATGGGCCTAATATTGTGCTTCAGTCCTCTAGGAAACATGCTTTTAAGATCAGCAAGTACAGAAAAAACATAGATTATGATGTATAAACCATTTAAATTATATTATATTATATTATATATTTTTTTCTTCTTCTTTTATTTATTTTATTTTATTTATTAATTTATTTTGAAAACAGCAGCCTCTTGAATTCTGTTTATGTATTAGAGAATATTAGAAGGATTTTTTTTTTTTTTTCAAAGTGGGAAAGAACATTAGAGCCTTTGGGATGCTGAGTAGACCCAATCACACTACATCTGACAGGATATAACACCTAAGGATCTAGGAAAACAACAACAACAACAAAAGGAACCAAACAAAAAACCTCATGACATTTGTTCCAAATGAAAGCTAACCAAATTTTCTTTGAAAACAGATAAAGCTAAAAGAAGATCCTTCCCAAAATAAGTTTAAAAATCATCATCTTCCTGGCTGCCATGGTATCAGGATGTGATCCCACTTATCCATCTGGTTTTAAGTGTGAGTTGTTACAGAAAATGTTGACTTCCAGTGTAGCAGAAGCCTTTGGAGAAATAACACCATTCAGTGATAAGTACTTAAATTAGGAATTTGGTCTTCACAGCAGCAGGTGGTCTCCTTCAGGGGACTGAAAAAAAAAAACCTTCAACATGAAGACTTCGAAATTTGTTGAAGGAGCTATATAAGGGAGCCTTGAGGCAACAGTTTCCCAGCTTGACCATTTTACCTTGTGTGAACACCTGCAATCTCAAACATCAGTAGTCACTATTACGGCTACAGGCATAAACCATTGCTTTGGCCTGGTGGCTTTGGTGGCACCAAATATATATTTGTCTTGTTGTCATGCATGTAGTCCATCCACCTGAGCTTTCCTACAATTGTAGTTCCTAAAACAGGTTTGGCACTTTAGACTCTTACAACTTTTGGATGCAGCCATCAGTGCAGGACACTTTCCACAGTGCATCAGATTCCCCAACCTATGAGACAAGGCTACTAAGATCAGTGGTCCTGCTTCCCTTCCAGGGAGCAGGACTTCATCTTCAGGGGTTTAAACAGGGACTCTCTAAAGGTTGATTAAACATCTGCTTTTAGACCACTTCACTGCTGGTCCCAGAAGGGAAAAAACAAAGTTACCTTAAAGCCAACACTCACCCTGCTGCTTTCTCCACGCATGCTACTTTAGAGGTGAAGCTGGGAAACTAGGAAAATCATATCAGAAGATGCAGGAGCAGTATGCGAACTACAGGATAAAGTTCTGGTTTTCATTCAAGCAACAGCAACAAATATATTGATGTAAATAGGGGAAATATTAACTGAACCAACATTGTGTTTCAGTGCTTTCTGCTTAAGATCTGTAGGGGATTTCATTTCTAGATAGGCAAGTCCCACAAAAAAAAAAAAAAACTTTAAATGGATAAAGAGAAATATGTGTTGTATATGTTATAAGTTAAGATAAAAAAGTGCTATGGGGAAGATGTTATTTCACTATATTTTTACTTTAAAAGAAGCAAATGAATTGCTTTGGCAAAAGCAAATCAGCACATTTGTTTCTTCAGTGACAATGTGTTATTACGTATATGGCAAGAAAGAAATACACACTATTGACTTATTTCCCCTACTGCTCTGTGCATAAAAATAAAGACTTATTATCCACATACAACTTACACAAGAAAAGATACAAAGATATCCTAAAGCAAAAATGAGGGAAAGCAAACATGAGGGAAAAAAGCAAACATGAGGGAAAAAAAAAGGAGCATTTGTTTGGAAAACATATCATGCAACACAGAGCATGAGTGAAATTACAGTACATGGAGAACAAAAATGCTGTCACCTTAATAATTCAATATAGTGCATTTCTGGTGGATTTCTTACAAAAAATCAGTGAGGAGTTATGTACAATATATCATAAGCTTTTAGTGCTACTCTATGAGACTCTAGATGAAGGAGCTTCTACTCTGATTAGCTGGGCAAGATATCTAACAAACAAACAAACAAAAAAGAATGGTAAATTATAGCCTAGGGTTTTCTTGGCCTCACATTATTAAGATATACTCATGTCAACAGCAAATAAACTTTTATATTAATTATTCTAAGTGGTCTTCTTTACTTCAGCTGAAAAGCTAGTTATAAATTCAAAAGTACTCCTGAGTACCTCTTTATCACAAGTACTCTTTTATCACAAGACAAGGGAAATATATTCTTTCAGTGTTCTCCTTTCTTACTGTCAATAAAACTAGACTTTAAGATTCAAGATAATTTATTGACCTCATAAAATAGATAGGGTAACACTGTGAGGTTGTGAACTGTAGAGTTTCTTAGAGAGATCTCCAAATTCAGGGATTTATTTTTCCTCTCTCTTCTTTAAATACAAACACTCTACAACAATTTAAGAAAAATAGCCTGCTTTACGGTAAGGTTTTTGGTTTGGGTATCATCCTTATTCATTAATACTTATGTCATCCTTCAAAGAAGGGTATGGGGTATGCCTCTTGTACTGAAAAAGGTACCAGGCAAACATTAATCAACACAAGTTTTTAAGAGTTTATTTAAAAATGTTCCTTTATTTGGCCATACAGGAATAGTAACAAACTCCCAAGATACATTATTAGGATGTGCGTACAATCTTAAAGTCCTTATATTTGCCAGTAACAGTGAAAAGAAGGCCCCAATAAGCTGGTCAGCCTCTGTAGAGGCCACTGAGGAGACCTGAAGAGAGGAGAGACAGGGAGAAGTATGACATAAGTGACAGATACGGCTCTGATTACTCTACAAATTATAGACTGAGTGAACATGGGGTGTAAGATGAGTGGTTAATAGTACTAAATATATGCTGAGTAATCCAAAACGCAATAGGAGAAGCACATAGTTTAGAAAGGCATTTTTTTTTTTCCCTTTCTGTACAGCTATGTAAGTTCTTCCTATAGGGTCTAGGCTGCCAACATATTTTGAACTGAGCTAGTCAGGTAGCTAATCAACACCCACATTTTTATACACAAAGACTGAAAGTTTCATGCTTATTATAGGAAACAGTGATGGCTGCATCAGCAGGCACTCTCAGGACCTGAGGGTTCAGGCTTCACTGGACTGGACGTCAGCATTGCTGCAGCCACTCAGAAGCCTGCAGGCTGTACACAGCTGTACTCAGCAGTAAGTAGTAGGCCAAAGCCTTGCTGTCAGCAGCAGTAATGCATTGGGACATATATGACTGTATTATATGATGTAAAGAAAGTGGTATGAAGCTCAGTCTGGTAATATGTTGGAATTCTTACAGAGATTTTTGTCTTACTGTCCTAAAATGTAGAAATCTGATATAATATAACCTGTGTTTAACACGTCATGACTGCCCCTTTATGAAGACCAGTTGAAGAAGGTCTAGACTCCTCTGTCGTATTAGAAGGACCTGTTCAAATAGTGATTGAAGTCACTCACACCTTGACTGAATTGCTAAAAATACTGCCAAAGGAGCAGTCAGTGAAGAATGAGCTAGAGAAGCTCATTCAGGGCTGGCAAACTCATTTCCATCTATTCCAAGGAAACTTTTGCTATGAAGGAAATGTTTTGGGACTCTTCTCAAAATGCTGAGCCTTTTTGCTCCATGCAGGTCACAAGTATCCATTTGAATTTTCCAGCACAATCACATCAGTGAATAACAGCAATGGGCAGCCTGTGGAGACACCCACAGGACTCCAGGAGGGTTTTGATACACAATTCTGGCCCATATAACCAAGCTCATGTAAATTTGGCCAGTGTACATTAGGAATAGAATGCATATGCACTAAAATTTATTTTTCATCTTCTCTGTGGTGCTTGAACTACCCTCTTCATTTAGTTCTGTGTTAGAAATAGTATGTAATGACTTAAATTTAAAATAAACATTAATATGCCTATCTATACAGTAGCTCTTTTTATCCTGAAGAACCTAAAGATCATCTCAAAACATAAATCACTCTTCCTTTCAAATGCACCTATCTCTGGAAAGGAGGGAAGTGATAAAATTAATAAAAAGCACCCAACAAAATAATGTGTGTAAATAAATTCACCAGAACAATCTAAAAAAAAGATAAAGGAAGATAAAGGAAGATTCAGACAAACTCACATATCTCGGGTGGCTGACTGGATGAAGCTATGAGTTTTCACAGAGCCCAGAAAGCCTGTTATCCAATCATGGATAAATAAATCCACTCATGGATTTGTTCTTACAGCATCCACAGATTTATGCAAGCATTCAGTACAAACTTCACTAACTGGTTCCTGTTATTCGTATCATTCAGAAAAGAAAAAGTTCTTAAGAAGCATCTTAACTATAACTCAGAGTGGTTTTGTGATATTTATTTAATTACTTTTGAGACTTTTGAATATTAATTGATTTTCAATACTCTATTTATTTCTTTGTTTGTTTGGTTTTTTTTTTTTTTTTTTTTTTTTTTTTTTTAGCCAAGTAAATATTGTTTGGTAAGATTTCTAATGGGCAAGATCTCTAATGATTTTTAAGTTAATATCTTCATTCTTCTTTGTGTGTCTATTTGTTTTAAAACAAGTATTACATTCTTTTATGTATCCTTACCTTTATCTTTTAAATCTGCAGGATTCTTTCCTTCCTTTTCTTTAGTGTGTTCTGTAAAAAAAAAATAAGTTATGAATCTTCAAGCTAGAGTGATAAAAGGTTAACATCTAATACCCCTGGGTTAACAATTGATTGAAAAACTGTTAGTTTCTCAATGAGCCATGATACCAACCAGATGTGTAGTACAAAACACTGTCTGCACGTTGTGCATGCTGACAAAGTGAAATTATGAAAATTTCTTAACTGTGATGAAAGAACGAAGATCACTCAAAACTCATTTCACTTTTCAGCATTTAACAGCAAATGTTCATAGTGTTCCTAAATTCTGAGTTTGGACTTCAGTGGGCTTTTACAAATATTTCCTATTAGCTGTTTAAAGAACTGTTTGCACTTCTTATAATGCTAACAAAGTTTTACCACAAATTTACTGAACTAATATCACACTAATAATTTGCTAACTAAGCTATCTATATATTATGAACAATAGCCCAATGAATTGCAAGATTTTTTTCTTGATGCAAATATATCTTTGGGTGTTATACAGTTTTGTCCTTCAGCGTTACCTTTATCTTTTGTAGCAGCTGGAGATTTCAATTCTTTGTCTTTTCCAGGATCTGTAAAATAAATATTCACACCGACAAAGTGACAGTTAGAAGCAATGAAAAAATGAGATTTAATCTTAAGAGAATGAAGCATCTAGATCATGTGAGAGACTACATCTGTAAATCAGAATAAACAGTGAAAAGCAGTGAAGTTGTACAAAATTCAACCATTTTGGTTTTGAATGACTGTAGGTCACAAAATGTGTTTTATTGACTTAACTATGAAGTCTATAAATTTAAAAGCTTCATCTTAATATATGATAAGGATATTTTAACTTTCTTAACCAGAAAGTATAAAACAAAACCCCACTTTTGGCCAGTTTTGACTTATTAGATGTGGCAGTAGGTACTTCCCTCATCTGGGATTGTTCATTCTTGCTAAGCAAGTCCAAGGATCTCTCTATTGAAAATATTCTTTTACAAGAATTAAATACGTGTTAATTTGAAGGCAACACAATAGTGACAAATAGGAGGACAAAGAGTTATTTTTAATCTGCCTACTGACAAGTAGTGGAGATGGCTAAGCCACATCCTTAATAGACACTGGATGATGAGGGGTAGTCCCTTTGAAAAGGCATAAGAAATAATCTGGTCCAGACAGAAAGCAAGAATATTATTTCAGACAAAACATGAGACTGTGGTTCTGGGCTAATTAAACCAAAGATTCCCTCACACTTCTCCAAAAGACAACAGATTAGGCTGTCCAAAAATAGAAAGAACAGATTTGGACTTTGAATTCTGAATATTAAGTACAGACTACTGGTTACAGTGGTTATATATATATTATCTGAGAAGCAGTAATTAACTGGCATTTCCTGGAAAAGAAATACAATGTTCTTCAGCAGATATGAAGAAAAAAAAAAAATCTTTCTATTGGGAAACTCAGAAGCAATTCAGTGACAGAAATGCTTAAAGATCTGTTACAAGATCCCCTTGGTTTCTGCACATGGGATACAAGCTCAAGACTCCAAGTGAGTAGGAAGTTGTATTGTGTTTAGCAGATAGATCTGAAACTTCCAGAGCTACAGTGGCTATCCACAGTAATAATTGTTTACTTCCGGGAATCACACACAATTTACAAAGTCACTTTTGTTATGGAAACATGGAATGTGTCCAACGGCAATTTATCATCATTATCAATAAAGCTTCTTGTTCATGATTTATTATTGGACTCTGTCTATGAAAAAAATAAGTTTACAGGGAACCTACGTTGAAGGAATTCAGACATGATAAAATTGTATTTATATCAGAAGTAACCATCAGGTGAAAAAACTGCATTTACTGTTGACACTGAAAGCTGTCTTTTTCCATCCTCACCATATCCCAGACATCTGCTTCAGAAGCTGCCTCTGCTCTCCTGCTTCTACCTTCAGGTTTTGTGCTCAGGATTTTATTATTCAGTCACTAATTTTCAAAGTGAGAAAACAAACAGTTCATTGCAAATATCCATGAAACATATAGGGAGGAGCTATGTATTTCTAATAGTCCTAATGAAAACTGAAGTAACACTAATATTTAAATACTTAGTTAATGACAGTGGTCAGTGCTAACAGAAAAAAAAATCAGTGAGAAGGCTGAAAGATATGTCCTTTGTGCTCATGAATTAATGAAAATTTCTGAGAAGAATTCCATGCTCTGTACAATGCTCGCTACAGAAAAGGGAGTATGGAAGACACAGACCTCTCATTTATGATATGAAAAAAAGAATTTGTGTTTAAACCAAGTAACACAGAAAAATAGTACACTATTATGCTTTGAAAAAAGCATATATGTTTGTAAACAAACAAACAAACAAAAATGTAATGCACAATATAAACCCATCATGTTCAAGAGCCTGTCCATAAAAACTTACAGTTTTTGTGCAAAATTAAGAATATAGTTATCTAAACTGTTGTAAAAAAAAAAAGTTATTTCAATAATACATTTTTATTAAAAAAAAAAAGGAAGAGAATTAGTCAATTCTTAACTGCAAGTTTAAGTCAATACTGACAAAACTTAAAGCCCCAAGTGGTCCCCAAACAAGGAAATATCTGGTGCTTTGGAGACTTTTGTCATATCCAGGAGAAAAAATTTTCTTTTAGGATGGTGACACAGATGATGCAGAAGAATTCAAAGAGTGGTCCAGGGCTGACCTGTAAATATTAACTTAAATAATAAATAAACACTAGCTGTGTTGTAGGACTGAACTTGCTGAGGTCTATTAGATAGTCTGGCAAAACTTGCTAAAATAACAACCTGCAGCACAAATCCAATAGAAGAGCCTTTTCCTACTTGCTCTGTCTTGATTTTCAGTGTTAAGCTTTTACTGAGATCAGACAACATAACTGAGACCTGTAGTGAGCCTAACAGATTTATAGAGAAGAACTGTGTGTGAATAATAAATAGACTTTGTATATATATAATAAATGTAATAATAAATAAACTTTGTAAATAAATTTACCATGCTTGCATGGCACAAGTGTCTTCCTTTTGACAAGGAAGAATATACATTAATGGGACAAAGCTTCTTTGGATTAAATAGACTAGCATTTCTCCACATACCCATTGTTCTAGTCTGTTTAATCAACTATAATCTACAATGCCCAGTAGCAGCAGGAACTTTAATATATATATATATATATATACATATATATATATATATACATATATATATATATATATATATATATATATATTTTTCCCCCCCCATCTTTAGATCTGACATTGATCTAACGAGTTAGGAAGAAGTATCTAAATATTTATCTTACTTGCTTGTTTCATCTTTGGTTTATCTGAGGAAAGAAAAGAGAAGTGAAGCAGACATAAAAAGAGAAAATAAATAAATAAATAAATAAATATTGTAATACATGTTCGCACAGGAAAAGACTTTTTAATACAAACAGATATTGAAAATATGTTTAAAGAAATGTTGTCCCTCACTGCTTAAATACAGCTTGAAAATTATTTCCTCTCCATTGTTGCTTGATAGTTAATGTGAAAAATGTTCATGTTTTTCACCTAGTATCTTGCAGACATGCAACCAAACATAAAAATGTCAATTTCATATAACCGTCTTTAACTGATTCTAGCTAACTTCTTTCTTAATAATATTGGATATTACGTGACAATATATTTGCTGTTTCCTCATTTCTTTTACGTATTCACATTTGCCTTAGTAAAAAGCACTAACTCCCTGACAATATCCTGACATTTGATCATGTCATTTGTCAAATAAATATGGTAAAGAGATAAAGCACTGTCTTTTCTCAGACACTTCTGGCAGTTCTCTGACTGCTTGCTTTCCTTTTAACAATCAGAAATGTTACATGTAGTTTTGCTTTACTACTAATGAGAGATCAGTGAACTGGAATGTTGCTACAACCTTCTAGCCCTTTTCCAGTCAATAGGGATTTGAGGTGAAAGCTACAACAGCATGTTAAACAACTAAAACCATTGTTGAGGTTTGAAACAATGAAACTACACCCTAATTGCTAAACAAATAGAACTGCTGACACACCAGATTTTACTGCAAGTCTCCATATTCTTCGTTTTTTCTTAAATCACAAATTCTAATTTTGATCAGATCAGACTCCCTCTACTTGTTGACATGTACAAAAAGTTGTACAAAACATAGAAGAACAAGCATTTTTATTTATCAATCCAAAAAATAGTTTAAAAAAACATTTCTTCATGAATTCATACTGTGCTGTTAAGGAAGAGTCCTCACTTTTACTCAGATCTTCCAGATACCTGGGATCAGTGAATTCAGTACAGTTTTCTCTTAAGTCAAAACATAACCCAGAGCTGTTCCCATCACTTTTTTTTTCTTTTTCTTTTTTTTTTTCCATCAGAAATAGAGATGTGTGATAATATACAAAAAACCTTTCTGAAAATCTGTTTTTGCTCATTTGTCTTTGAAAGTCCAGCGTGTTGGCAGCACATACAGGGCACAGAAATGAGAAGCAGTCACAATTACTTAATTAAAATATTCATGTTCATTTATGTGCAGTTGAGGACCTGAGCTGCTGCCAGCATTTGGAAGGAGCTGTAGAGGAGGAGTTTTGACTTGGAGAAAGTAGATGGTTGTGGATATGGGGAGACAGAGCTGCTGCTGCTGACTGTTCTAAGGAGAAATATGTTGTCCCCTGTTTGAGCAACTTGGGGATCAAAATCAGCTGGGATCCTGAAACTCCCAGCTTGATGCCATCCATTTGAAACTTCAGTTTGTACTGCCCCATCTATGCTCTTTATGGCACAGTTAAAATATTTTGCAAATAACATCCCATGTAATGGTGGTACGTTGTAGAAGAGACAAATCTTACAGCAAACACCACCTCACTGATGTATGAGGAGGTCAAATAGTGCAGGTGGCTGGGGAGCACTTGTACAGCAATGGAAAATAGTGTGGAAATACCCAGACTAACAATGAATGAAATCTAGGCCAAGGCCTACCTAATTATAACATTTTCCATGACAACTAACAAGCAGCTGACAGCTGCTGCAGGGTGCCTATTCTGTCTTGAGTAACGCTGAGTAAAGCTGAAGCTGAGAAACTAAAGAGAGGAATAACAGCTCAGCTGACCAAAACTACACTTGTAATTATTCCTTATACTTTATTCTGAAGGTTACTTGCAAATTTGGAAAAACTCTATTATGAAAAGACTGAAAATGCCAAATTCATCATCAGGGATCTAATTGGTAATATGAGCATGAGTAAATACATAAATCACCTTGGTAGGCAGCTAGTAATACAACAGAAAAGAAGTGGATATATATTGTATAAGGGGAGCCAGTGCTGACAAGCTTTAGGTCTTTATGCTAATGTTTTACTACTTTGCTCCTTGCCATACTACCTTTAAATAAAGAGATTATTTATTTATATATTAACAAGTGTGTGAAGCTAGTTTACAGGATACAATGCTGAAAGGTAAAATAATAATAGGTATAAATGTATGTAACGGAGAAGGTCGCGATAGGAGACCTGATAGGAGGGGAAAAGAGAATTTCCCTCACTTGCAAGCTCATTCTCATTTGCACATCCTCAATCCCAAGTAGAGTGTGTCCAAGCATTCTGTCCAGCAGTTAGGCAGTGAGATGTGTGTATCCAGTTAATATATTCAGAAGATCTTGCAGTGTCACAGGGAGCAAGCACTGCCAGCCACCATGAGCCCAACACACCGTGTTTTTCCTAGTTTGGCAGCCATGTATTCTTTGTGTTCTTTGTGTCTTCTTGTACACTTCAAGAGTGGACAATGATTATGATCTTTTCCCTTTCCACGCTATTTGATGTGTGGAATTTTATTCACTGTCCTTTGTTTCTTTATCTAGATTATTATTATTTTTTTAAGTCTCCAAACCTATATATATAAAGAATATTTTAAAACGATATATATATAAAATTATAAAATTATAAAAAATTTCAAAATATTAAATATATGTTTATATTTAATATTCTCACCATCACCTTTGTGGTCATGGCTTGAGTTTTGTTTTAGCCTGAATGTAGACTGACCCTTGTTTTTTTCTGCTCTGACTAACTTTAAATTATATGTATGCTTTGTGGCTTGCTGAACAATGTGCCATCAACACATGTAGTTCTTGTATCCCTTCATCTGGTGTTCCTACTTCTAGACCTTCCTGTTCATACCTCACACATTAAAAATCCTAACTGTTTTGCTGCAAACATCTATAAGTTCTGCTCTCAAAATCCTTTTGAGTTTTCTCAAGCTGCAGTGGATCTTCAAGGCTCTTCATAGGGTTAATATTTCATTTGGGATAAGAAAGGCAGCTCTTCTGACTGCAGGTTGTCTGTGCAATATCTCTTTGCAAGTCTGTCTCCAAGACTGAGGAGTAAAGGCCCTACCCCTGTCTAGGCTGCTGGGGTAGGAAGCCTCTCACAGGACCTGTGGAATATGAAAGTCCCAGTGCAGGACTTTTAAGATGAATTGAGTGGCTTGCTCACTTTCAGCTTTTGTAGGGGTGGTGGTTTTCTAGAAGTGGGACAAAGCCAGGTTCCTGGTGGAAACTCCCTCTTGCTCTGATAAACAGAGCAGAGCTGTTGCAAATAACAGCCAGAGCAAAGAGTTTAAATGTTGCTGTCATCTAGCTGTCTGAATCTGAGGTTTTTGTTTCTGTGTTGTTGCCTTTTGAAGAGAGATAATGTCAACATTCTTTGTTTTCATTTTACCTTGCTCTCCTGCCTTCATTGCTTTTTCTTCCTTCTTTTCAGGTACTGCTGCAAGAAAAGATTCTTATCTTTAAGTGGCATTTCTGGTCAGAAGTGTTACTTTTCTTAAATACTTACAGATTACTTTAAAGCAAATGATTTCAAAGATTTTGAACCATGAGATTGCTTTTTTTCTGATACAAGACCACATAATAAGCATTTTTGACCTATCTTAAAAAAAAAAATCAAACAGGAAATTCTTTGAAAAAGAAAGAAAAAGGAAAAGGAGAAGGAAAAGGAAAGGGAAAAGAAAAAGGAAAAGAAAAAGAAAAGAAAAGAAAAAGAAAAAGAAAAAGAAAAAGAAAAAGAAAAAGAAAAAGAAAAAGAAAAAGAAAAAGAAAAAGAAAAAGAAAAAGAAAAAGAAAAAGAAAAAAAGAAAAAGAAAAAGAAAAAGAAAAAGAAAAAGAAAAAGAAAAAGAAAAAGAAAAAGAAAAAGAAAAAGAAAAAGAAAAAGAAAAAGAAAAAGAAAAAGAAAAAGAAAAAGAAAAAGAAAAAGAAAAAGAAAAAGAAAAAGAAAAAGAAACATCTCTTTTTCTTGATCTCAGGAGGAACAGAGGCTAAACTGCAATGCATATCACATAGCTGAGGAGAGAGCTAAGCAAGACTTAACGAGCCACGTGAGGGTTCCCAACATAAGTATGTTTTTCTCTTTGCAACAGCAGAAATCTTCACTCTGCATCCCTGACACAGCAAACCATTTCCATGTATTTTTAAGCATGTATTTAGTCTTACTGAGGATCACAGGCTCCAGTCAGACTGTGTATCACAGACACCCAATTACAGACACACAATTTAGTTCTTGTGAGTACTGCAGTTTCTGAGTGTGAGAGGAGAGAATCTGATCACTTGTAACAGCAGGGCTGCTAGATCTTTATTGATGCCAGAGGGAAGCAGCAATAAAACTCAGGTCAGAATGTCTGAACACTGAGTATCCCCAAGCTTTAGCTTGCACACTTCCCAAATCGATCAGAGACAAGGGACGGAGACTATTCATTCACAGCTCTATGCTAAGGATTAAATGATTTACGAGGAGGAGGTGGAAGACGGAAACTCTTCAGACTTAACTCTTCTAGGAAGCTTACACAAATAGGGGTATCTTATATAATTTATGACAAATTATATAGCAGGTTTGGCAATGCGTAAGATTTCATGTAGATTTCTGAATATATTTAGAACAAAATATATTTTGGATCATATGATTAAATTATTCAGCTACAAATCTGGCAAATATGTAAACATGTTTGTTTAGCTGTAAATGGCACTGTCATCACTTCACTTTCATAAAGCCAAGCTTTTGTAGTTGCAATTTATAACCACTATGCTGAATGAGCATAGCTGCTCCTAATTTAAAAAGGTATCCTCCTACGGCATTTGAGAGAAAAAAAAAAGGTAGCATTAAGAAAATATGCTTCACCATTGTTGCCTAGTTTAAAAAAGGTAAAAGAATAAAAAATCAGCATAAATAGCAGGATGCAACTGGAAAATGAAAATTAATTTACTTCAAATGACCTATATATTTAGTATGGAAATGTCTTTACAGCTACAGAGTTATCGGCATATAACATCCACTCAGCTTGTTATTTCAACCTGACAAGCACAGAAAAATTTTCAACTCAGTGTTTTATTACAGAAAATCACAGTGGTAGTAAATTAGAAACTTGTATTTTAAAGCTGAAGTAAATACTGAGGGTCACATTCCATTACCATTATTTCTTCACTGAGAAATTATGTGAATTCAAAGAATTCATAAAGTGCTTCCAAGTGTGCTTGCTGTTCTTGCAGGGGGTGTCCTGGTGGCTATCCTGAGACTAAGCTTGCAGCCCAGGCAGCAGGGAAGCCTTGTGAAGCTGATGGACATCTTGGCCTAAGCAGGCCAGCTCAGTTTGTATGCTACCGGCTGTCTGCAGTGTCTGCAAGTGGGCTTGAGGCCAGAAGAAGGATATTCTGTTCCCATCAGGAACTCTTTCCTAAGATTCACTGAAATGTCAGGTATGGACAGATGAATTGCTTAATGTTGAGTGGGATGGACCAACTCTCACACATCAATCATTCCCCTGCCACTTGCTCTTGTTTATCCCAGAATGCTGTGGGTTGAGAGTGTGTTTGTGAGCAAGCTCCATGTAAACAGTGAAATATTGCACCTCAGTTACTTCTCTGTAAAACCAAAACCAGGACACTCAGGTAACTTATTTTATAGAAAGTAATCTTCAGTTTGCCTGAAAGTCAAGTCTGAATAGAAAGGATGACTGACTGATGATCCATAGCAAAAAAAAAAAAGTGAGTACTCCTTTTCTATTCAAGTACCTAACGTGTCAGTCATTAGACATACAGAACAGCAAAGAGGAACAAGGTTAGTTAATATTTATTGTAGATCTCTTCTATTACCATCTAGGTTACTTAGGCCCAGATTAGCCAGGCTACTTAAATCAGAAATAAATTAGATACCTACATGCCTAGGTGAATCTGGGCTTTGAGCCCTGCCAGTGTGAGCACAGGGCTTTTAATAATTTTGCTAAAACTGTCAAATATTAAAGAATAAGCTTATTTTAATATGAAAAAAAAAAGAGGAAAAGAAAAAGAAAAAGGGCACTTAGACCCATATGCACTCCAAAATGTATTTTCAGCAGCAATGATAAGAATACAATGAATTATTGAGAACAGTTGTTTTCTCCAAAGCATGTTAGTCATTTTAGCTAAAAGAAAGAAGTTTTGGTTTGTTCAATTTCTGAAAACCAGAAGACTGATAGAATAAAAACTGAAAATATTTTCTAGACACTGAATATCCACCTAGAAGAGCAATACAAATTTCTGAGATGAACAGGTATTTAGAGTCATCAAAATTGTGTGGAGGTGGTATACAAAGAGTACAGCTATAATGAAAGAACCAGTCAGTCTTGAGCAACCTTGTAGCTAATATTTAAAAATAACAACTTGTACTATTAATAGTATTCTGTCAATCAGTGCATTCAGTAATGCTGTAATGCTTCTATAAGCATTTCTAAATAAATTGCTATGATAGATTAGCACTTCAGTTGCTGTTGGGAACTGGCAAGTAGCATCATCTGGACATGGAAGAGTAATACTTGGAAGAAGAATAAGAACATCACTTTATTCACTCAGCTTTTTGAGAACAGAGGTGTGAGCTGCTTCGGTGATGCTGAGAGGTCTTTTATTATCAAGGTAATCGGTGTCACTTTAACAGTCGTTATAAATACACATAGAATCAGTTTTGGAATAAGACTTCAATGAAGGTTTTGTTTCATTTGTATTAGAAAATGGACAAGTTTTCTAAGTAGCTAAAGATTTTATCCCTTTTACTAAGCATTTTCAAGATTATGACACTTCTGAGTGGCATCCTGAAAGATCATCTCTGTAAAAGTCTGTCCCTTTGCAGGCACTCCCTACATGAAAAGCTGATCCTTTAGCTGTATCACCTAAGTAACATGGAATTAGAATAATCTTTTCCTCAGAAGGAAAACATCAGGCATAAAAATTAACTACTTGAACTAATAATAATAAAAAAGGATGCATGTGAAAGCAAAAGCAAAAGTATAAGTTTGCCAGGAATCCATCTATTCAGCAAGTTATAGTTAAAGAAATAGATGAATTACATGGTGTCTGGACTCCCTTTATATTTTGTCCTTTCACAACAAAATCCATAGTAAGTTGGCATAATGTGCATCAACTTGGTTTGTATGATAATTGTTCCACTGATTCCATCATAAGCTCTTTGGAAACAAAAAAGAAAGAACTTAGCAAGTATTATTATATATATATTATTTTCCAGGAGAGCAATCCAACAGTGAAATATTTCTGCATCTTTAATAGTTATAGGCTACATTTGTTAGTTATAGGCTAATTTGTAAGACTATCTTTATCCCTAAACAGAGAGTTTTCATAACTAGAACCTCTATCAGAAATATGTATTCCAAAGTGCCACTGATTTTAAAGCTGTTTTGAGATGTTTGTTCAATGTGAAGGTAAACTAAAAGAAAACATTGATTGGAGGCAAAACTCACTGAACTGTGACATCAGAGGCAGGAGCCCCTTGTCATGACTTCACAAACATCAAGCAATCATGAACCTAGAAAGTGTCTATTATGATTTATGAACTGTTCTGTTGCATGGAGAAAACAAAAAAATTCCCTATTATAAAGACATTATAAAACCTTTTGTGAGAGAATGCAACAAAACTTCTTATAAGCTTCCGATAAGCTTGATAGTTTTTCAGAAATACAAGGTAGTGGGAATGGTAAAGACCTTCTTCCATGTCATATTATTCTTAATTTAATTACATAGAAGAGAATTATATAAAAAACCTCACTTGTTGTCAGGCAAAGATGGTTTTCCTTCCATGAATATGCTTAAAAATTTCAATATTAGCCAACAGTTACTGAATATTCAAAACCACACTGCAACTACAGAGCTACTGAGTCTAAATGCATTAATGTCAGGAGGAAAAAATAAAATTGTTATTAACTTAAATACAAAAGAAGAGTTTTGGGTTCAACATTAATCTGATCCTATGATAAAACTAAGATCAACATTTTCAGTTGTGAAACCACTAATTTGACAGCAGAAAAACAAAAAAACAAAACAAAACAAAAAAAAAACAAAAAAAACCAGAACAATTCTTGTCTGATATAATAGAAACATAGAATTTCCGTTTGTTTTTAGTGAACTGTGAATTTTGTTTTATTTCTAGTACACCTTAGTTCAAGATTTATAATTCAGATTCTCTTCTGTTCTTCAAAATACTGGTGACACGATGAAGACAAATTGCATTTACAAATGCTTGCTTCTCATCTAAAAAAGTATGAAATGTGCTATTCAGTGGAAAAACTTGAGACCACTCACTGCAACAAAACATATGGATAAAGTCTCTGTTGTTTCAAAGATCCTGTTAATTATAATTCACAAAAGACCTAAAGAAAATAGCTCTTAATAAAAGGGTAAATATAGTCAGTGAGAATAACATTTTCTAAAAGCCAATTTCCCAGCAGTGGCCAAGGAAAACTTCAAGTTTGCAGAAATGGACTTAATTCTGCAAGAAATAAACATTTCACTTTTTATTTATTTATTTATTTATTTATTTATTTATTTATTTAACCCAATGGACACAGGTTTGGCAGAAATAGGTTCATAGTTGAAATATTGTCACTGAATGCACAGTACAGTGTTACAGAAGAAATAATAATGTTTCAAAAAAGATTTGCTCAGAGGCTTCAAGCAATTGGTAAAAGCTCTATTCAGTCACCCGTAGCATCAAGACTACTTTTATTTTCAGATTTTGCATTCTAGAATTTGCTGAAAGTGAAAAAGATGCACACAAAATACATTTTTTTTCCCCCTCACCAGTTTTCCCTTTTATCTGGTGCGAGTACAAAGAAAGCAGTGTCTAAATTAGTTTTCTTTTCTGTTTTGCTCAATACAATTAGCTGCATAGCAATGACAGCATTATGAATTTAGCCCATGAAGCAGGGAGCTTAAAAACATCCAATAAAGGGAATGCTGCATCAGCTTTGATTTCCTTACATTAATCTCCAAGACTGTGATTCTACAACCCTTCCTCATACTGCAGAACACTATATTGGTTTTCAATGAGTTCTTTGGAAATGAACTCTAAAATAAAAGAGGATGATTGAATGACAGCAGTGTGTTAAAAACTAATATTTCTCATTTCTCTGCCTTTGACTTTTGGCAGACAGATTTGGAAACTGTTCACAAGTCTGAGCAGTTGATAAAAGTAGTGCTATTGTTTCAATAGGAATGTTTGCAAAACAAGGTGGTCTTTGATGTGAATAAATAGAGTAGTGTATGAACTCCAAGTGAAGTGCTTTCACTTGTTTCCAAGTGAAGTGCTTTTCCACTCGTTTCTAAGATATGACTGGTACCTGTAATGTTCTTAAAGATTCAGAGTTAATATCTTACACTCTGTATATGTAAAAATTCAGACACTAACACAACAACCTAATATTTGCTCAGATGGAATTTAAGACCTTGAGGTTTCTGAACAGTCCCAGTGCCCTGTGCCTTCAGGGAAGGAACAGATGGTGAAGAAAGTTCTGCCCCCATATCTTCCACCCTCTCCCAATGGCAGTTCTTGTATGAAAGCAACGCAAAAGCTGAACCTCTCCATAAAAATTCCTAGACTCAGTAAATAAAACTGCTTCAGTCACTGGTTTTGTGCTGCAGCTGGACTGGCAAAAAGAGAGATACTACTTTGTGTCACGTCTCTATAAAAGACTGATTACTTGTCTTTTCTGCCCTTCACAACAAACAAACAAACAAACAAAAACACTTATGGCTTGAGTTAAGGTTAGAAAATGCATTTGGTGAAGTTGGAGAATTATAGTTTGTCAGTCCATGGATAACTTGAAAAAAGATCTTTTTTTTTTTTTTTTTTTTTTTTTTTTTAAAGGGCCTTTCAGGTGCTGCAAGAAAGGACCCATTAATATTTAAAAGGTCTACTTTATTTTACATAAATCATACCTGCTAGCAGTTTTGTCACAAGAAACATTTTCATAAAGAACAGACTAAACACCAGCATTCTTCCAATTTAATTTTAAAAACAAAAAAAGTTACCCACCTTTTGACTTCAGAGTTTCCACAGATGCTGTAAAATACAAGAAAATATTCCAGGGAATAACTTTTGCAAATGTATAAAAGCCCTGTTAGAATAGATTTTATAGAATAGGACGGAATATCCTAACATATTCATCCCTTGGTCAATGTGCTACCTATTTCCACAGAGTAGGCTGAACTACTGTTGAACTACTGTTCATTCATTAGTTTTTATGTGGAGGAAAACTGAAGCATACGTATGTTGCTTGTTTGGATAGTCTTATAGCAGATGACTAATAAACATGTAGCTTAAAAGCGATGGAAAACAAGGTCAGGTGGTATAGATACGGTTTCCACTAGCTTTGCTATTTTCAGGTAATAAGAGAAGGTGGAAAAACAGGTTGCAAAGTAAAACATTGGTGGAGTATATGCAACAGAAATCTCATTTTGTTAATCTCAGTTATCCTGGGAAGTTAAGAGCATTTTCTCTGAGTCTGTTGAAAACTCAAGGCGTAACTTAGGAAAAAGAACCATGCTTGTATTGGTACAGGGGAAGATCCATTTTCAGAAGTATTGCTTGAACATGTGTCTTTCAGTTTCATTTGTTTATTATTCTTCATAATTGGATTGAAATGAATTAAGCTACCACATTTCTGTTTCTCATTATTGATACCCTCATTTTGAAGCATTGTGTCAGGTTTTTAGGCTGTAGAAGAGGAGGGATTTTTTTTTTTTTTTTTTTTTTTTTTTTAGTATATTGGCTGTCTACTGTATTTTTTGCTCAGAATCTGTATCTAAGAAAATAGAGTCATCAGATGAGTGAGTCATCAAGCTTGGCTGTAAAAGGAGTTTAAAATCTTTATGCTCTTCCAAATTTGGTTAAACTTGAGAAGTAGATTCCTGTCAGAAATAACAGCACCTAACTACAGGAATAAAATATGTGGGCATAGGTATTTGAAATAAAACCAAACCAAAACAACCTACTTCTTTCCTCCCTTCCAAATGCTCAAGTTCCTATTTTGTGTTTTGCTCTCTATCAGTTTACTGTGATCTCCAAGCAAGGCCCCTTCCTCCCTGAAAAGACAAACCTTTAAAAACTGAAATAAAACAAACTCACCATCGTTCTCACGTACATTTGATAAGATCACTGTTCCAGAAGGCAAAATAGCTGCATGGCTGCTCCACAGTCATTTGCTCAAGTAAATTTGATTAAACCAACAAATCTTTATCCCTGGCTTAACTTCTCTTCTCCCTTTACCTAATCCTGTCTTAACTTAAAATGAAAACAGATAAATGAGAAATTAGTGTTCTTTACAGGTCTTACCATGTACTTTTGATTCTTTCTTTGCTGTTTTGGCTGTAAAAGCAAGCAAACAAAACCCAAATATTTACTTACAACAGGGATTATTTTAAAACATTGGGACAGCTGAAAAATAAGATAAAAAAAGGATAATATTTACCAGTATCCACCATTTTTTCTTTCCTGTGTGTTTCTGAAAAAGAAAAAAAAAAGTCAAGCACACTTTCCTCTTTTTATAATGTCTTCTTTACTTGAGCTGGACAATCACTTTCATGTTAGAATCATAGAATCACAGAATATCCGAGTTGTAAGGAACCCTCATGGATCATTGAGTGCAACTCCTGGGTCCCCAGAGGACTACCCAGTAAGTCAGACCATGTGTCTGATTGTTGTCCAAACAGTTCTTGAACTCCAACAGGTTCAGTGCCATGACCCCTTTCCTGGGGAGCCTGTTCCAGTGCCTGACTACCCTATCAGTGAAGAACCTTCTCCTGATACCCAGTCTGAAACTCCCCTGTTGCGACTTCAAGCCATTCCCTGAGGTCCTATCACTGGTCACCAGAGAGCAGAGCTCATGAGGAAGCTGCAGGCTGCCATGAGGCCTTCCCTCATTCTCCTCCAGGCTGAACAAACCAAGTGACTTCAGCTGCGCCTCATGTATCTTGCCCTCTAGACTGTTTACCCCATTTGTTGCCCTCTGGACTCTCTCTAACAGTTTATGTCTTATACTGCAGCACTCAAAACTACACACGGTACTGAAGGTGAGGATCCACCAGCACAGAGCAGCTGGCAATGCCGTGCCTGATGTACCCCAGGATATAGTTGGCCCTCCTGGCTACCAAGGCACACTGCTTGTTCATGTTCAGCTTACTGTTGATCAAAATCCCCAAATGCCTTTCTGTAGGGCTGCTCTCCAGTGCCTCATCACCTAGTTTGTACGTATAACCAGGGTTGCCCCTTCCCAGGTGCAGAATCTGGCACTTGCTCTTGTTAAGCTTCATATTGTCAGTAGTTGCCATGCTTTCTAAATTGTCCGGATTTCTTTGCAAGACCTCATCCACCCTCAAAGGAGTCAACAGCTCCACCCAATTTGATATCATCTATGAATTTCCTCAAAAAACTTCAAAAACCTGTTACTAGTGGATTCTGGATGTGGCACATTGCTTTGGGGGGTTAGTTCAGGTGAGCCTTTCTCTACCTTCCTGCACATCAAAATAAAACCTTTATAGTTATCATAAGTCACTTTATCCCCAGTGATTTTCACAATGTGGAAACAGGATCAAGATAACTGTTAATATCAGACATCAAAGGACTTAACCCATATCATAAGATGCTAAAGGGAACTCTAGTAGTAATGCAGGTTAAAATATCTGCAGTTTTACTTCATGGCAGACTAAATGGAGGCCTGTGAACCAGCCGTATGTGTCTCTGCAGACATCTGTGACATGCTCCTTGCCTTTTGTCATAGAGACTGGAGACTAAGCAGAACATCTCATACAGCTGCTGCAGCTTTACAACCATGGTACATAAGGAGGGGGTAAGGACTCTTTTACATGAATATGCAATGTGAAGGGAGCTGTGGCCAACAGAAGCTGATTACTAAAGGGTCTGGGACCTGAAACTGAAAAGCTTTGCCCACCTAGGCCCTGTACCCCTCTGGTAAACCATGACTGCGATTTACAAATTTTTGATAGGAATTTCTGTAAGAGCTCTTTTCATCTTGCCAGGATTTGTTTCAGAACATTTTTAGAGGAGTAGGCAGCCATCCAAAGGGAAGAGGAAAATATTGAACTTGTCTCTCAGAAACTCAACATCATCTACCAGGCATGGGCAAAATAATATCAAAAATAATAGATCAGCTTTTGAAATCCAAAGATGATGTCTGCACACGCTTTTACACAGTATATGTAAAAACTCCAGTGTGTCAGTTTGATTTACACAGGGACATTACCTGCATTTAAGAACATTTAAGCTGACTGATAAAAAGATTAACAGCTGCTTGTATTAAATACATTCTTGCATAAAGGAGCATTTTTGCATGCTCATCACTTCCTTCTATAGGATGACTATATTTTCTCTATGTTTATTAAGAAAAATAGTTGTATAAATGCTCTAGTATAAAATTAAAGAATATTAGTACCTTAACAACTTGAAGTCTAGAATCAAGATATAAAGTTCCATATTCAAAGTGATTCTGCATGCTGTACCCTCACTAAAATCAAACCTGTCCTTAAATTTGATTTATTCTTGAACTGAATAAGCAAAAAGGGATATTTTTTCTCAGTAGAAAATGAAATATTTTGACCAATAACATATTAATATGAATAGTATCCACATTCAATATTATTTTATAAGCAGTATTAATACAAAATGCTGTGCATATCTAAAAGAAATACTATGCAGATCTATGAAAATAATTGATATTTGAAAATGCATAACCCAAAATATGAAAAAACTACAACTGCTAAGTTTTTAGACAAAGTTTGTCACTACTCCATACTCCTACTCCTAGTAAGTTGTATCAAGCAATGCATGTAGTTCTATCTGTAATGAAATATTAATTTCTTTTCTGTTTTAAAATCTATCCAAAGTGCCAATTTATATATATATATTAAAGCAAAATGTAGCTTCTAAATAGTTTCGTTTTGAGCTCTGTAAAACAAAAAAACAACAAAGGATTATCGTTTTTACCATTTTACAAAAAATGTTGTGGGAATTTCATGACAATTGCATAAGCAATTTTTTCTGCACTTTAAAGCACAACAATTAGTTTTCTGAAATCAGGGACCCAACTTTAGCATAGTTATATAAAGAACATTTTAATGTGTTTATTACATAATGTATATAATATAGACTATTACTGATGATTTACAATCACATTGTATATATGACATGAGATTCAGTGGAGATGGTCAAGCAGCAGGTTGATGTGGTCCAAGCAATGAGCCAGAAATGTGATTCTTCCAGCAATAAGGATAAGTGGAGACAGAGAGTGGGCTGGCTTTAAATAGTTTATTACCTGGATAGATCTTATATTTTTATGATGGCATCCTAGCTTGGGTGGCAATCCAAGCCCAGAAAACAGCAAAAAGTGTGAGGACAGAATTTTGGGACTCAGGGGGTTGTCTGACTCAAAGAGCTTAATCATAACAACAGCTGCAGCTTTGGTTTTGTGTAGCCCAAGTGCTCTTCAGAGTATCCAATTTCATTCAGATATTTTAGGACTCATCCTGTGAAATGAGAGTTTTGATTGGTTTCGTGGGGTTTTCTGTTTTTCTTTTGCTCAGGACTGCTTCCTGGAAACTCAAGGAAATGTAATTATGGCTTTAGTGATTCTGAGGCAATTATTTTTCCCTCTCATTCTAAGATCTGTCAGCTCTCATGAGATCAGGGAACAGTATAACATTAAAAACATTCAGCAAGCATTTTTGCAAAGGATAATATTTTTTATTTATTTAGCTTTGTTTCCTGTTTTTTAAACTGCAAAAGTTAAGGATGTTCCACAGAGCTTCTTTTATATGAGTTTTGCTTCCAGAAGCAATTTGAAATAGCATCCTTTCAAAAAATTTAATAACTAATAGAACTTGACATCAAGCCCTTCAGTGGAAATCTGAGATGATATGAAATTTCAGGTAATGCCTCCTATGGTATTTTAATAGAATGAACTGAAATCTTTCTTTCATTGCACGAGCCATAAACTACAGGACAGTTCAGGTCTAGATCTTTGTCTTTCCTTTTTGCCTCATATCACCATTGCTTGATTTAAATGTCTTTTTATTATTTATTTATTTGCTAACAAGTAGTTAGTATGACACATGAAAGGATATTGCCAACTGTAGGCACATTAAATATTTGCCATGACATTTGTTGTTCTTATCTATAAAGATGTGTGGGTGTGTGTGTGCACGTGTGAGAGAGGGAGAGAGAGAGAGACTTTACATGTTTTCATTCAGGAAAGTTCTTCTGTAACAAAATATATTCTTACCATGCATGGAATTAAGATTGGATTTACTTTGATATTTCACCATCAAATAAACTCTGATGTTTTCAAGAAAAGGTTTTTCTGATTTATGAAAAATGGTGTATAACTTGCTCTTAAAACCATATAAATGTGTTTTTGGTGACACACTCCTAGATACTGCTGGAGCAGGTGGAAGAGAGAAGAGAGCCTGAACTTGATTTTGCTCATCTTTTCTCCAAGCCACACTCTTCCCTGGAGTGCCAACAGTGCTGAAAAGCATGTAGATTGGCATGTTTGCTGTGGTACACTTTAATCTTCAGTACGATGATGGACAGTCACAAACTGTGACCTTCTGCCATCTGTCAGGAGAGAACTATTGACATCCCATTCTGATCTGTATATCTGTGTGCACAGGTTTGTGTGTGTGTGTGTGTGCTTGCACTTGTGTTATGTTCTAATTCACATATATCCAAGAAGTGTTCAGAAAAATAAAAACTGAATTTGGAAATACACAAATTGGGAAAATATTTAAATAAATGGCATTTCAAATGGATTTGTTGTTCTGTGGTACATGCCACGTCAGATAAACAATACTGATTGCACTCAGTAGCTGCAGAAAAAGGCATTTTCTGTACTTTTAATTTTGCCACAATTATTTTGATGAATCTAGTTAAATACTGCTTTTGTTATGTTCTATGCAGTGTCTTGAATACTAAATCCTTAGAGAGTAGGAAGTTAGTCTTACAGTCTTGTAATCTTGGTTTTATAGGCTATGTGCCTGTCATTTTCCCTCTTAGACCTTTATAACGCTGGTTAATTAAAACCAACTGAGATAGGGTGCTAAAGCTCTGCAAGATAGTCTTTTGTTAAGAATATTGAGAACATAAGCAGAAAAGGTCTCTTTAGTCTCCTCTGTTGAAGGGAAAGATTGCAACATGAGCTGAGTCATGTTATTCGACCTGAGATAATCCACATGAGAAAGTTTTGTATCAAACCTGATTTTTCAAGTTGTTCCCCAGAAGTACTCATTTTCCTGCATTTGACTGCTGCTTCTCTGACTGGATCACTGCCAAATCCACTGCCACCATACATTTTGATTGATAAAGGTAGTGCACTGAATGTATGACTGAAGCTCAGTGAGGAAGCTAGTATTAGGATAGACAAATTGACCAAAGTCCTTAAATTTCAGCTGATTTGGTCAGTCTTCATCAAAAGCAGGTTAGATGCTTTCA